CCTGCTTCAGCTCTCGCTGGTCGGGCTGCAGCAGCTGACCAGCACCAATTGTCCAGCACTCCCTAGTGAGATGAACCTGGTACCTCAGTTGAAAAGCAGAAATCACCCATCTTCTGTGTCGCTGGCCCTGGGAGCTGGAGACTGGAGATGTTCCTATTTGGCCATCTTGCTCTGCCCCTATATACTTTCAAATAGTCCATCTTCAAGCTCACTGATTCTGTTTGACCCATTCTGCTGTTGATGCTCTTTATTTCGTTTTTCACTTCATTTATTGTATTTTTCAGCTCCAAAATTTGTTTGATATTTTAAAAATTATTTTATTCTCTGTTAAATTTTTCTGATAAATTTCTCAATTGATTCTCTGCATCTTCTTAGAGTTGTTGAACTTCCTTAAAATAGCTATTTTCAGTTCTTTGAGAGATCACTGTCTGGTGTCTGATTTTGTTCATTTGGTAAGGTTGTATTTCTTTGAATGTTCTTGATGCTTGTAGACATGCAATGACATCTGCATATTTAGGGACTAGGTATTTATTTTAGTTTTTGCAGTCTGGCTTAGTTTGTGCTTGTCCTTTTTGGGAGGCCCTTCCAGGAATTTAAGCAAACTGGCTTTTGTGTTCCCTGAGGCTGTGATCACTGCAGCTGTTGAACACTGGAGAATGATCTACATCCAGGCTTGCTGCAGGTCTTATGAGGGCTCCAAGGTTGACATGGCTTTCCAGCCCACATGGACCTGGGAAAGGTTCAAGTTGCATACTAAGGCTGTGGGAATGCTTGCCAGGGACCCAGGTCCAGAAGGCTGTCCTGGTGGCCCAGAAGGGCATGTTTCCCAGCAAATCTTTTGACAGGTGGGATGAGTCTCCAGTTGCAATGAGAGGGGCTGGAGTGGAGACTGGCCCTCTTGGGATATGTTGTGGAATGGAGGCTGGAGAGCCCAGTCTCAGCTTAGAGGGGCACACGTAGCCCAGCAAGCTCCTTCAAAGGATATTTCCCCAATGACAGTGTGAGGAGCTGGAGTTGAGACTGGGCCCCCTCAGCATCTGCTGTGGGATGAAGGCTGGAGAACCTATATTGTTTGCCCAAACAGGGCCAGCAGGTCTCAGCTTAGATGGAATAGTTCCCTGTCTGCAGTAGGAGGTGCTCACGGAGCTGAAATTTAACCCCTTTAGCATCTGCTGTGGGACAGAGGCAGGAGAGCCTGTCTCATTATTTCAGAGGGGCAGGTGTCTCCCAGCAAGTACCTGCATAGATGGGATAGTTCCCTGATTGCAGCAGGAGAGTTAGAGCTGAGACTGGGTCCCCTTGGGATCTGCTGTGGGACAGAGGTTGGCAAGCCTTTCAAGGAGGCTTAGACTCCTAGGCTGCAGGATAAGGACAGGTCTCCCTTTGGGTCTGTGTGTGAGCAGCTCTGAGCTGGGACTGCAACTGAGGGGAGTTGGAGCAGAGTCACCAGGCAACTTTCTGGTTCACTGCTGAGACTGATGTCAGCAGGGAGAGAGCCTTTCCACTAAGGCACTAGTATGCATGATTCCTTATGGACCCCTTTGCAGATAGTTGTGCTTGTAGGCTCAAGGCCAAATGGAGCTGTAGCCAAGTCCCTTGGGGATGTGGGCTATTTCCAGGCTTGAACCCAGAAGCAAGCTTGACATAACAGCCAACTGGGTTTCTGTCTGTGCTCTCAAAATAACCCTCCCACGTCTTCGTCTCTACCAGGATTTCACAAACCCCTACCTGAATCCTGAGGCTCCTGCAAAGAGACTTGACTGTGGATAGGTGCTGGATTTTTTTTTTTTGTTTTATTTTAAATTAACAGTGTTTATTTACCTCTATATATTGTTGAGAGACTGGGGTGAAGACACAATTTTCATTTTGTAATTTACAGACTTCTATAAGCTAAAACAAAAACAAAAAAGTCTTCTCTAATATAATGGCAGAATACAACTTCTATTTATTTTTAGTTTTTTAAATTTCAATCACTTCTGGAGTACAAGTAGTTTTTGGTTACATAGATACATTTTATAGTGGTAAAGTCTGAGAGGGTGCAGGATTCCTGTTGTTGTGGGGGAATGTGAGTTACCCTTTATTCTGCCTTTCTGGTAACGTCCAAGAACAAGAATTCTTGTGCTTATTTCCAAGATATGATTGCCTTAAGAAGAATACCTGTTTATATTTTGCTTTTAGATATAAGTGTTTAAAGCTTGACTTACTTGGAACACAGCATTGATTAAATTATATTTCATTAGTTTTATTGATACTGCTTATCTGTTTAAAATTCAGATAGAAAGTTTGAATGACAAGTTACAAAATGCTAAAGAACAGCTTCGAGAAAAAGAGTTTATAATGCTACAAAATGAACAGGAGATAAGTCAACTGAAAAAAGAAATCGAAAGAACACAACAAAGGATGAAAGAAATGGAGAGTGTAAGCAAATTATTTCCACCTAAGGAACAAGTGATAGTCTCTGTTGAGTGAAAAGAATCTTTATGTTTTAAACTGGTTGGTTTTAATATACAAAAACTGTGCCATAACTGTTTTTAGGCTAGTTATTTGTGCCAGAAACCTGTTAGTTTCTTTGACCTTTTAAAATATTTTTCTGATGGTCTAGGTATAGGCAAAGACAATGTCTCATTTATCTCTGTATACAGGCCTTTGCATGGTATCTTTCATATAGTAAATCTACAATATATGCTTATTTGCTTGACAAATATTTATTGAGAAACTGCTGTGTAACAGAATTGAGGAGTCAGCTTTTTTTTTTTTTGAGACGGAGTCTCTCTCTATCACCCAGGCTGGAGTGCAGTGGCACAATCTCGGCTCACTGCAGCCTCCGCTTTCTGGGTTCAAGTGATTCTCCTGCCTCAGCTTCCCAAGTAGCTGGGATTACAGGTGCCTGCCACCACGCCTGGCTAATTTTTGTATTTTTAGTAGAGACAGGGTTTCACCATACTGGCCAGGCTGGTTTCAAACTCCTGACCTTGTGATCCGCCCACCTCGGCCTCCCAAAGTGCCGGAATTACAGGCGTGAGCCACTGTGCCCGGCCGAAGAGTCAGCTATTAATAAGATACGGTGTTTTGTGTATTGGGAACTCCATCGAAAGAATGGATAAATAAATAATTGCACATTATTAAGACCAAGTGCACTGACTTGCCAGATGAAGTTTGATGACTTCATATCATCACTATGCATGTGCGTTGACTGGTGAATTCATTCCTCCACTTGCCTTTTTAAAAAGTGAATTTAGCGTCAGGCACGGTGACTCACACCTGTAATGCCAGCACTTTGGGAGGCCAAGTTGGCAGATCATTTGAGCCCAGAAATTCAAGACCAGCCTGGGCATTGTAGCAGTGGGACCCCTGTCTCTACAAAAACCTTTAAAAACTAGCTAGGTGTGGTGATGCATGCCTGTGGTCCCAGCTGCTTGGGAGGCTGAGGTGGGAGGATTGCTTGAGCCTGGGAGGTCAAGGCTGCAGTGATTTGTGATCACACCGCTGCCCTCCATTCTGGGCAACAGAGCAGGAGCCTTTACCAAACAAAAAAGAAGAAAAGGAACAAGGAGGAAGAGGAAGAAGAGGAAGAAGAAGGAGGAGGTGGGGAGGGGGAGAAATACTTTATTTGAAATTTAATTGAGTAATATAAAACCATTTCAGTGGGAGTAGCAGCCCCAGTGACAAGTTTTACTTTCACAGAGAATAAGACCTTAACCCAGCTGTGTGGATTAAATGGTGGATTTTAATTATCTATACCAATATATTCTCTTTGACATAGATAATCAAATGTTAACTTCTCTTTTCTCTTTATGTTTTCTGTTATAAGTGTTACTTTCAAAATGATAAAAGATTATATGGCTGGTATATGTTACAGTCATGTAATATATATCAATAAGAGTCCCAATTATGGTATTTTTGTCATTTTCTTATAGATTTTTTTTTCTTGAATATCAGTTTCACAGTGGGTGATACTCATTGTATGTTACATTTTAACATACTCATTGTATGTTAAAGGATTTAGTTGGAAGGGGGAAATTTACTTATTAAGCAAAATCAGAATAAGAAATAGGTTATCTGTATATTTCATTCTGAAACCTACAAATACCTTATGTTTTTCAGGTTATGAAAGAGCAGGAACAGTACATTGCCACTCAGTACAAGGAGGCCATAGATTTGGGGCAAGAATTGAGGCTAACCCGGGAGCAGGTGCAGAACTCTCATACAGAATTGGTGGAGGCTCGTCGTCAACAAGTCCAAGCACAGAGAGAAACAGAAAGGCTCTCTAGTGAACTGGAGGATATAAAGCAACTCTCTAAAGAGAAAGTAATCCCTATTTTAAATAATCTTATGTTTCTGAAATCTTACCAATTTTAGCATTCACTTTTTTGAACTGTAGAATATAGTTCTTGCAAAAATGAACTGTATCACACAACAGTGTGAATGTACTTAATCCCACTGAATTATACACTTAAAAATGGTTAAAATGGTCAATTTTGTGTATATTTTACCACAATTTTAGAAAATGATGAACTGTGTTATATATAGATAACTTTGTAATATAACCGGGAAGTCCTTCAGAACTGCGTTTTGGCCAAACTAGTTCTCAATAAATTGAGTTATAAAGCACTTCTAGACTTTTAAGTGAGTTCAGGCTCTTACTTGAAGAAAAAATAAAACTAATCTTTTCTGAGTAAACATTTTTACATTTGTCATGACTCTTAAAAATGAAAACTATTGTCTGGGCAAGGTGGCTCAGGCCTGTAATCCCAGTACTTTGGGAGGCCGAGGCGGGCGGATCACAAGGTCAGAAGTTCAAGAACAGCCTGGCCAATATGGTGAAACACCATCTCTACCAAAAATACAAAAAAAATTAGCCAGGCTTGGTGGTGGGCACCTATAGTCTCAGCTACTTGGGAGGCTGAGGCAGGGGGATCGCTTGAACCCAGGAGGCAGAAGTTGCAGTGAGCTGAGGTCGTGCCACTGCACCCCAGCCTGGGCAACAGAGAGAGACTCCATCTCAAAAAAAAAAAAAAAAAGAAAACTATCCAAATTTGTAACTATGTAAATTTGTAACTTTTAGGAAACCTGTATTTCAAAGCCCTTGGTTGGTAAAGTAACTTGGAGGTAAAGTGCTTTTAAAAAGCAAGAGTACTAATATAAATTTTATTTTCCCAGTATTTGGTAGGAAGTTAACTACTTGGCTTAAAAATATTTAGATTGGTATACTTGGGTTAATTATTTAGACTTTAAGAAAAACGTGTTTATTGATGTTGCAAAAAAAATTTCTGCTTTCCATTGTGGTTACGAACATAGGAATTGAATTAAAATATTTTTACCTTTAATTTTGGTTAAACCTACCTATGTTGTTATTCACATTTCTGGATGGTTAGACCAGTAAAGCATACATAGAGAATGTTTATTAGAGAGATATTATACATTTGGGGTTCTTGGAAAGGAAAGCTATCTACTTTTATCTCATTTCTGCCTTTATCAATAGTGTCAAAGTATAGTATAATTGGTTTTTATTTGATAAGCTAAGCTCACTTTAAAAAGTGAATTAAAGTGAGGAATTTTTTAATTGACAGTGTTTTAAATATTATATTTTAACCCAAAACTAAATATATATTGATATGTTTCTCCTTTGATGTAGGGCCAAACCTTGGTTCTTTTTGTATGAGTTATTTGATTAGAATTCTACCTAGTCTTTCTCACATAACTAGAATCCTACCTGGTCTTTCATCGCACTATATTCCATCATCTATAGTTTCCAATGTTGCTTTCTTTGAAGTGGAGGAAGAATTAATTAAAAGACATTTGTAAATGAATCAGACTAAAACATGTTATATTTTTATGGGACCTCCTACAATATTTTATAACAATTTTGAGTGCTTCTAGTTGGATAGCAAAATGTTCATGACTTACTCATTGAGCTTGTTCCAAACATATAACTTAGTTTTTGAATAAAAACTTTGCTTATTTCATCATGTTCATAATCTATAATAATATTACAAAATTAAAATTACAAGCACAGTTAGCTAAATTAGCATAAATAAGTTTGGAAAAAAACACAACTGACTCTTGATAAACAGACAATATATATAGTGAGCAAAAATATACAAGCATACCTAGCAGTAGACTGTTATCTGCCAGAGTCCAGTGTCCAGTGGTTATTATTAATAGTTCATTTTATAGAAAGCATTGGTTAGTGAACATCTAATTTATGATGACAGCAAACAATTACATTAATACTCTCCCATTAATAGTCTCTGAAATGTCTAGATTTTAAAGCATACTATTTAGTAAGTTAACTTTGTGTCTGTGTTTATATAATATAAAACATTAAACTACTTCCAATAATGCACTGGATTAGTTTAGCTATAATAACCAAATAAGTTTTATAGCTTTTACTCAATATGTCATTTTTAAGGATGCTCATGGAAACCATTTAGCTGAAGAATTGGGGGCTTCTAAAGTACGTGAAGCTCATTTAGAAGCAAGAATGCAAGCAGAAATCAAGAAATTGTCAGCAGAAGTAGAATCTCTCAAAGAAGCTTATCATATGGAGGTAAAGAAAAATTTAATTTGTTTTGGTAGTGCCCACTACAGTAGGTTGACCTATCTGGACAAAAGTATGAGTCCAGCTCTTAAGTGTTCATTATTGAATAATACATTGTGGTCTTCATTTCTGGTAGCCTACACATATAGCTTTCACTTTAATACACTGTGGGGTTAAGAGCTTGAATTCTTGAGCCAGGCAACCTGGTTCTAAACCCTGGCTCACCACGGAGCCACCTGTATTACCTTGGGTAAGTTACTTAACCTCTGTCTAAAATGGATATAATAACAGTATCTACCTCATAGAACTGTGGTGAATATTAAATAAATTAATATATAAATTATAAAATAGCATTTGTAAAAGATTAGCTGGAGATATTTAATAACTGATATAAATAGTTTCATGTGATGTGAATCTATAATGCTTTGCAATTTTCAACATTTTTTCCTATAGTAACTTAGCTAGAGAGGTAATACTAGAGCCTTTTTATCTGTCAACATGTCTTGAGCCTTCATAGAAATGGGCAGTATTATTAACTAGTATAGCATTTTTCATCTTTTTAAAAACTACATTTGAAGATATTACCCAAAATCTTTGTATATGATTTAAATAAATTATGTTTAGTGCTAATAAAGCATTTTTCTAACATGGCAAGGGTTGCAAATACATTTATGTTAAACTCCAGGGGAGTTTGGTGACATTTTTGTGGGTGATTGGTAGGGCTTGTGGGGACCATGTCTTGCTTAAACACATTTGGAATTATATGTCTTTGAAAGCATTGTGCCTGCCAAACAAAACAAGCTGAATCTAATCCTAAGGCTAAGAATTTGCAACCTTTGATCTTTAGAGACAAATGTGAATGAATGCTGTTGGACTCAGCATAAGTATATAATTGTTATTAACAGCTCAACTTAGTAACCATCAGTAATAATTAGGCGCTCTCAAGTGTTTGCCCTTAACTACTCATTACACTTTCATTATATGGCCTCTGTTCTGTTTTTAAGTATAATTATCCAATTTTTTCTTTTAGTTTTATAAGCCACCTGAAATTATAAATATATGGAACATAAAATAAACTGTAAAATTAGTTCAGTATTGCTATCTTTTTTAAAAAGATTTGGGGTCTGTGTTGCTCAGACTGGCCTCAAATTCCAGAGCTCAGATAACCCTCCCTCCTCAGCCTCTAAGTAGCTGGGAGTGAAAGCACATGCCGACTGGGGGCATTGGCTCACACCTGTAATCCCAGCACTTTGGGAGGCCAAGACAGGTAGATCACTTGAGGTCAGGAGTTTGAGACCAGCCTGAGCAACATGGCGATACCCTATCTCTACTAAAAATACAAAAATTAGCTGGGCGTGGTGGCGCATGCCTGTAATCCCAGCTACTCAGGAGGTTAAGGCAGGAGAATTGCTTGAACCCAGGAGGCAGAGGTTGCAAGGAGCCGAGATCGTGCCATTGCAATCAAGCCTGAGTGACAAGAGTGAAACTCCGTCTCAAAAAAAAAAAATAAGCACATGCCACTGCATTTTAATATTTGATATTGCTATTTAATATTTGATACTAATATTTTATATATAATATTGAAGTATATATTTTTACCTGTTTGGAAGTTGACAAAAATTTACTTTTAAAATATATATGTTGTTTGAATATAAAAATAAGAGGATATGGTATTAAAGTAATAGAGAGCTGGAAAAGAGGATCAATAATTTTTAACAGTTCTTATTATACTTTAAAAGTATTTTTTTTCTTTTTTTTTTTTATACTTTAAGTTCTGGGGTACATGTGCAGAACATGCAGTTTTGTTACATAGGTATACATGTGCCATGGTGGTTTGCTGCACCCATCAACCTGTCACCTACATTAGGTATTTCTCCTAATGTCATCCCTGCCCTAGCCCCCCACCCGTGACAGGCCCTGGTGTGTGATGTTCCCCTCCCTATGTCCATGTGTTCTCATTGTTTAACTCCCACTTATGAGTGAGAACATGCGGTGTTTGGTTTTCTGTTCTTGTGATAGTTTGCTGAGAATGATGGTTTCCAGCTCCATCCATGTCCCTGCAAAGGACATGAACTCATCTTTTTTTATGTCTGCATAGTATTCCATGGTGTATATGTGCCACATTTTCTTTATCCAGTCTATTATTGATGGACATTTGGGTTGGTTCCAAGTCTTTGTTATTGTGAATAGTGCTGCAATAAACATACGTGTGCCTGTGTCTTTATAGTAGAATGATTTATAATCCTTTGGGTATATACCCAGTAATGGGATTGCTGGGTCAAATGGTATTTCTAGTTCTAGATCAACAGTATTTTTTAATATATAGGTTTCCAAATTGTCAGAAAATCCCTTAATAATAAATGCAAAACTCCTGACTTTTTGGAGGAGAATGAGATTGTTTTAACTTTTGTGAAAATTTTAAATATATTTTAAAATAGATAGTATAAATAGTATACATCCTCATATTTATTTTTGAATGTTAATAATTATCAATGCATAGCCAATTTATTTCATCCATAAATACATTGACCATTTTCTTTATCTAAGAGAGAATACTTTTGAGAATGAAAAGGAATGCTATAGTAATTACAGGGGGGAACCAGGCATAAAACCCAGATAGTCCTAAGCATTCTTGGAAGTGTGCAACACAATGCTTTCAAAGAGATATGATTCTAAATGTATTTAAGCAAGACATGGTCCCCACAAACCCCACCAATCTAAGCAAGACATGGTCCCCACAAACCCCACCAATCACCCACAAAAATGTTACCAAACTCCCTTGAACAGAGTTTAACATAAATGTTAAACCCATTCCCAAGCCATCCCCCATATTCACATATTATTTGAAGCAAATTTTAGACATAATTATTTCATCCGTAAATAATTATGTAGACATAATTATTTCATCCATAAATAATTATGTAGACATAATTATTTCATCTGTTCAAAAATAAATATAAGAGGATGTATACTATTTATACTATTCTATATTCAATAAGTATTTTGTATTAGTCCATTTTCACACTGCTATAAAGAAATACCTGAGATTGGGTAATTTATAAAGAAAAAGGTTTAATTAACTCCCAGTTTCACATGGCTGGGGACACCTCAGGAAACTTAAAATCACGGCAGAAGGTTAAGGGAAAGCAAAGCGTGTCTTACCTGACAGCAGGAGAGAGAGAGTGTGTGGAAATGCCACACTTTCAAACCATCACATCTCAGGAGAATGAACTTACTATCATGAGAACAGCTTGGGGGAACCGCCCCCATGATCCAGTAAGCTCCCACCAGGTACCTTCCTCCATACATGGGGATTACAATTCAAGATGAGATTTCGGTGGGGACACAGAGCCAAGCCGTATCATTCCAACTCTGGCCCCTGCCAGATCTCATGTCCTTCTCACATTTCAAAACACAATCATACCTTCCCAACAGAACCCCAAAGTCTTAACTCATTCCAGCATTAACCCAAAAGTCCAAGTCCAAAGTCTCATCTGAGACAAGCCAAGTTGCTTCTGTCTGTGAGCTTATAAAATAAAAAACAAGTTAGTTACTTCCAAGATACAATGGGGATACAGGCGTTGGGTAAATGTTCCCCTTCCAAATGGGAAAAATTGGCCAAAACAAAGAGACTGCAGGGCCTATGCAAATCTGAAACCCAGTGGGGCAGTCATTAAATGTTAAAGCTCCAAAATAATCTCCTTTGACTCCATTCTTCACATCCAAGGTATGCTGATGCAAGGGGTGGACTCCCAAAGTTTTGGGCAGCTCCACCCCTGTGGCTCTGCAGGGTACAGTCCCTGTGGCTGTTTTCACGGGCTGGCGTTGAGTGCCTGGGGCTTTTCCAGGTGCACGATGCAAGCTGTTGGTGAATCTACCATTCTGGGGTCTGGAGAATGGTGGCTGTCTTCTTACAACTCCACTACCCAGTGCCCCAGTGGGTACCTGTATGGGGGCTCCAACCCCACATTTCTTCTCTGGACTGCCTTAGTAGAGGTTCTCCATGAGGGCTTCACCTCTGCAGCAGACTTCTGCTTGGACTTCCAGGCATTTCCACACATCCTCTGAAATCTAAGCAGAGGCTCCCAAAGCTCAATTCTTGTCTTCTGTGCACCTGCAGGCTTAACACCACATGGAAGCTGCCAAGGTGTGGGGCTTGCACCCTCTGAAGCAACGGTCTGAGCTGTACCTTGACCCCTTTTAGCCATGGGTGGAGCTGAATCAACTGTGATGCAGGTCACCCCATCTTGAGGCTGCACAGAGCAATGGGGCTCTGGGCCTGGCCCACAAAACCATTTTTTCCTCCTAAATATCCAGGCCTGTGATGGGAGGGGCTTCCTTGAAGATCTCTGAAATGGCCTGGAGACATTTTCCCCATTGTCTTGGCAATTAATATTTAGCTCCTCATTACTTAAGAAAATTTCTATAGCCAGCTTGAATTTCTCCCCATAGAATGGGTTTTTCTTTTCTACCACATGGCCAAGCTGCAAATTTTTTTAAACTTTTATGCTCTGCTTCCCTTTTAAACATAAGTTCTGATTTCAGATCATCTCTTTGTGAATGCATATGACTGTACACTTTCACAAAAGCCAGATCACCTCTTGAATCCTTAAAAATTTCTTCTCTCAGAGACCCTAAATCATCTCTCTCAACTTCAAAGTTCCACAGATCTCTAGGGTGGGGGCAAAATGCCACTGGTCTCTTTGCTAAAACATAGCAAGATACTCTAGTTTCCAATAAGTTTCTCATCTCCATGTGACACCACTTTAGCTTACACTTCATTGTCCATATCACTATCAGCATTTTGGTCAAAACCATTCGACAAGTCTCTGGGAAGTTCCACACGTTCTCACATCTCCCTGTCTTCTGATTCCTCCAAACTGTTCTAACCTCTGCCCATTACCCAGTTCCAAAGTGACTTCCACATTTTCAGGTTATCTTTATAGTAGTACCCCACTATTCTGATACCAGTTTTCTGTTATTAGTCCATTTTCACCCTGCTATAAAAACTGAATCAATTAAACCTCTTTTCCTTATAAATTACACAGTCTCAGGCCTGGCATGAGTGCCTGAGGCTTTTCCAGGTGCAGGTGCAAGGGCTATCACTGGATCTACCATTCTGGAGTTTGGAGAATGCTGACAGTTTCAGGGTAATTTATAAAGAAAAGAGGTTTAATTGACTCACAGTTCCACATGGCTGGGGAGGCCTCAGGAAACTTAGTTTTTACAATTATGGCAGAAGGGGAAGCAAGTCATGTCTTACATGGTGATGGTAGAGAGAGAGCAAGAGGGGACGTGTCACACTTTTAAACGATCAGATCTCATGAGAACTCAGTATCATGAGAACAGCATGGGTGAAACCATCCCCATGACCCAATTACCTCCCACCAGGTTGCTCCTTCGACATACGACACTTACAATTCAAGATGAAGCCTGGGTGGGGATACGGAGCCAAACCAAAACATAGCTCTAAAAGATAAGGGCTATTTTTTGGAACAGAACCACAATACCATTATCACATCTAAAAATTGACAGTGACTCCTTAATATCATCAAGTATCCAATCATTGTTCAGGTTTCCCCAGTTGTCTCAAAAATGTCTTTATAATTTATTTGTTCAAATCAGTACCCAAATAGAGTCCATTGCATTTGGTTAATTAAGTTCTTGAGTAAATTGAAGATTATAAATTCCTTTTCTCCCTTTTTCCTCTAGTATCTGTTGAGAAATCAGATATTTGTAACTATAAACAGAATTTGCTATTTTTAAAGAAAAAGTAAATAAAAGTAGAAAGTATTAGACTGTTGTTGAATCCAGTTTCAGTCTATTTTTTTGTTAATTTTTTTTCTTTTCCATTCTGGGGCTATATAGATGATTTCACATCAAGAGAACCATGCAAAGTGGAAGATTTCTGCTGACTCTCAAAAGACTTCTGTTCAGCAACTAAATGAACAATTAGAGAAGGCAAAACTGGAATTAGAAGAAGCTCAGGATACTGTAAGCAATTTGCATCAACAAGTCCAAGATAGGAATGAAGTAATTGAAGCTGCAAATGAAGCATTACTTACTAAAGTAAGTAAATATATAACAGTAATAAAGCATATCTATGAAAACGTAAATGTCTGACTTATTTACCTGTCCTTGTAGTTTATAGAGGATTATATGACCAAATATTGGCCTGTTTGAATAAAAAGCATTTTATTTAGAAGATTGTGAATTTAGGAAATTATTAAGATGTACATTTTATTACCATAGAAGATATAATTTATAAATGTTCAAATATAAATTCATCTAATCATAATGTTTAGAGGGTTTTATACTTGATGTACCTAAAACAAAAAAGCAGAAGCACTTTTCAAAATCAGCAAAGATCTTTTAAAATCATAAAGTAGGCCAGGCGTGGTGGCCTACTCTTATATTCCCAGTACTTCAGGAGGCCAAGGTGGGCAGATCACTTGAGGTCAGCAGTTCAAGACCAGCCTGGCCAACATGGTGAAACCACCCTGTCTCTACTAAAAAATACAAAAATTAGCAGGACGTGGTGGCCGGCACCTGTAATCACAGCTACATGGGAAACTGAGGCAGAAGAATCGCTTGAGCCTGGGAGGCGGAGGTTGCAGTAAGCCGAGATCACACAACTGCCCTCCAGCCTGGGTGACAGAGTGAGACTCCTTCTCAAAAAAAGAAAAAAATAAAGTAGACAATCCAAGATTATATTCAGAGGTTTTTATCTAGATTTGAATATAGACATAATTTAAAAAGGAATCCCAGTTCTTTGGTCAAGGCAGGAGGATGACTTGAGTACAGGAGTTCAAGTCTAGCCTGGACAACATAGCAAGACCCTGTCTCTGCAAAAAAAAAAATTTTTTTTAAATAGCTTTTGCTTTGTATTCTTCTTCATTAATCATGGCAGTTTCTCCCAGAATTTGAAATTAATATCAGTATTGATGCACAGAGATTAAAACATTGGTTCAAACTTGCCAATATGTAGGGTAAAGTTCTTAGTGAAGGCCTTAAAAAAGAATATACTGATAATTATGAAGCAATAAATGATTTTATAGCAAAATGAAAGTTATTGAAAAGGAAAAAACCTCAGCCAAATAATACCTTAGAAATATTTCTAGTTACTAAGCTGAATACTTAAATTCCATTTATAACAGAGTTGATATTAACAGTACTAGAGGAAAGCTGAATAGACATAATCTAATACATAAAAATATATTGAGGTTGAACACTCTATTAATGATTTTATTAATTATTTCATGTTCTGTAATGTACATTTATACAGAATTATGAGCTTCATTATAGAAAATTGACCCTAAAAAATTAGATTCTGTGCTGTATTGCTTGTCACAGTATTATCCCTGCTGCTCATTACTAAATATTACTGATGATAAATACAATTAGATTGCATGTGTTAGTAATTCAGATGATTTTAAGTTTAACTGTTTAGGCAGTTACCAAAATAGTGGCTATGTAGCAACATTTCTTTTTTTTTTCAGGCAGAGTCTTGCTCCATTGCTCAGGCTGGAGTGCAGTGGCACAATCACAGCTCACTGCAGCCTTGACCTACTGGCCTCAAAGCAATTTTCCCACCTCAGCTCCCGAGTAGCTTAGACGACAGGAATATGCCACCATGCCCAGCTAATGTTTAACTTTTTTTTGTAGAGACAGAGACTCCTTATGTTGCCCAGGCTTTTCTCAAACTTCTGGGCTCAAGCAGTCATCCCAAATTGGCCTCCCAAAGTGCTGGCATTGCAGGCATGAGCTACCACAACTGACTGACAATTCTTAAATGAATCATAGATATAGAGATCTTAGAATATGTACTGTGATTAGTCAGTATACCAGTCAGAAAATAGAATTCCTATGTTGGCTTACAGTAGCTCTCAAAGTCAACCTCAGCCTACTATAAAGTCTAAACTGAAGAGAAATTGAGGATAAAACTAAGAAATAAAGAAGACAGTCTAATAGAAGGGGAGAAGCAGGCATAACTGTAACTAAAAATAATAGAAAGCAATTCCATTGACAACATCAGTAAATGACAGGGAACAAAATCAGAAGTGAGGGAGAAGAAAAGAAAGATCAGTGTTTAAGGCAACTAGTCTTTCTAGTTCACTTTCTCTGGTACCTTAACTAGCAACCTTATATTTGAGGGTAATTAGAACAAGGGCAAAAACCATTTTTTGAGAGCCATGAAGGCATCATTATATTATGGTTCACTACAATTACATTCACAACAGTGACCTTCTTTGAATCTTAAGAAAAAGTTGAATTAATTTAATGTATTCAGTGTACTATATTTAATTGTAAAAGTTATGTGTTAAAACTGTAGGTTAAATAAAATCCTACTTATATGAGATACCACATATCTCAATTATGGCTAGATAATGCAGAGGAGGAAAAAGAAAAAAGACTGCAGCTGTGTACAGTCCTATTCTGTGCCAACTCTATAACTGTTTTGTTAATTGTGATTTTAACAATGTGAATGTAAGATTTACAACAAAAAATTGGCACTCTAGTCACTTAAAAATCATATAAATTGGGGATGGGTTCCAAGATGGCCAAATAGGAACAGCTCCAGTCTGCAGCTCCCAGTGTGACTGACGCTGAAGACGGGTGATTTCTGCATTTCCAACTGAGGTACCTGGTTCGTCTTACTGGGACTGGTTGGACAGTGGGTGCAGCCCACGGTGGGTGAGCCGAAGCAGGGCGGGACATCACCTCACCCAGAAAGCACAAAGGGTTGGAGGATTTCCCTTTCCTAGCCAAGTGAAGCCATGCCAGACGGTACCTGAGAAACTGGGACACTCTTGTCCTAATACTGCACTTTTCCAGTGGTCTTAGCAAATGGCACATCAGGAGATTATATTCCGCGCCTGGCTCAGCGGGTCCCACACCCACAGAGCCTTTCTCACTGCTAGCACATCAGTCTGAGATTGAACTGCAAAGTGGCAGCCTGGGCTGGGAAAGGGGCATCTGCCATTGCTGAGGCTTGAGTAGGTAAACAAAGTGACTGGGAACCTGGAACTGGGTGGAGCCCACTGCAGCTCAATGAGGCCTGCCTGCCTATCTAGACTCCACTTCTAGGGGCAGGGCATAGCTGAGCAAAAGGCAGCAGAAACTTCTGCAGACTTAAACGTCCCTGTCTGACAACTCTGAAGAGAGCCGTGGTTCTCCCAGCATGGAGTTTGAGCTCTGGGAAAGGACAGACTGCCTCCTCAAGTGGGTCCCTGATCCCCATGTAGCCTAACTGGGAAACACCTGCCAGTAGGGGCTGACTGACACCTCATACAGCCGGGTGCTCCTCTGAGATGAAGCTTCCAGAGGAAGGATCAGGCGGCAGTATTTGCTGTTCTGCAACCTCCACTGGTGATACCCAGGCAAACAGAGTCTGGAGTGGACCTCCAGCAAACTCCAACAGACCTGCAGCTGAGGGGTCTGACTGTTAGAAGGAAAACTAACAAACAGGAATAGCATCAACATCAACAAAAAGGACATCCGCACCGAAACCCCATCTGTAGGTCACCATCATCAAAGACCAAAGTTAGATAAAACCACAAAGATGGGGAGAAACCAGAGCAGAAAAAGCTGAAAATTCTAAAAACCAGAGTGCCTCTTCTTCTCTAAAGGATTGCAGCTCATTGCCAGCAATGGAATAAAGCTGGACGGAGAATAACTTTGATGAGTTGACAGAAGCAGGCTTCAGAAGGTTGGTAATAACAAACTTCTCCAAGCTAAAGGAGGATATTTGAATCCATCTCAAGGAAGCTAAAAACCTTGAAAAAAGATTAGACCAATGGCTAACTAGAATAAACAGTGTAGAGAAGACCTTAAATGATATGATGGCATGTCACAAGAACGTGACACATGCATAAGCTTCAGTAGCCAATTCAATCAAGTGGAAGAAAGAGTATCAGCGATTGAAGATCAAATGAATGAAATAAGGTGAGAAGAGAAGTTTAGAGAAAAAAGAGTAAAAAGAAATGAACAAAGCCTCCAAGAAATATGTGACTATGTGAAAAGACCAAATCTACTTTTGATTGGTGTACCTGAAAGTGACGGAGAGAATGGAACCAAGTTGGAAAACACTCTTCAGGATATTATCCAGGAGAACTTCCCCAAGGTAGCAAGGCAGGCCAACATTCAAATTCAGGAAATACAGAGACCACTACAAAGATACTCCTCGAAAAGAGCAACCCCAAGACACATAATTGTCAGAGTCACCAAAGTTGAAATGAAGAAAAAAATGTTAAGGGCCGCCAGAGACAAAGGTCCGGTTACCCATAAAGGGAAACCCATCAGACTAACAGTGGATCTCTCAGCAGAAACTCTACAAGCCAGAAGAGAGTGGGGGCCAATATTCAACATTCTTAAATAAAAGAATTTTCAACCCAGAATTTCATATCCAGCCAAACTAAGCTTCATAAGTGAAGGAGAAATAAAATCCTTTACAGACAAGCAACTGCTGAGAGATTTTGTCACCACCAGGCCTGCCTCACAAGAGCTCCTGAAGGAAGCACTAAACATGGAAAGGAACAACTGGTACCAGCCACTGCAAACACATGCCAAATTGTAAAGAACATCGATGCTAGGAAGAAACTGCATCAACTAATGGGCAGAATAACCAGCTAACATCATAAAGACAGGATCAAATTCACACATAACAATATTAACCTTAAATGGAAATGGGCTAAATGCCCCAATTAAAAGACACAGAGTGGCAAATTAGATAAAGACCAGACCCATCAGTGTGCTGTATTCAGGAGACCCGTCTCATGTGCAGAGACACACACAGGCTCAAAATAAAGGGATGGAGGAAGATCTGCCAAGCAAATGGAAAACAAAACAAACAAACAAAAAAAGCAGGGGTTGCAATCCTGGTCTCATAAAACAGACTTTAAACCAACAAAGATCAAAAGAGACAAGGCCATTACATAATGGGGAAGGGATCAATTCAACAAGAAGAGCTAACTATCCTAAATATATATGCATCCAATACAGGACCACCCAGATTCATAAGGCAAGTCCTTAGAGACTTACAGAGAGACTTAGACTCCCACACAATAATAACGGGAGACTTTAACACCCCACTGTCAATATGAGATCAATGAGACAGAAGGTTAAAAAGGATATCCAAGACTTGAACTCAGCTCTGCACCAAGTGGACCTAATAGACATCTACAGAACTCTCCACCCCAAGTCAACAGAATATACATTCTTCTCAGCACCACAATGCACTTATTCCAAAATTGACCACATAGTTGGAAATAAAGCACTCCTCAGCAAATGTAAAAGAACAGAAATCACAACAAACTGTC